TTCACCGAGAGAAGTCAGGCCCAAGGGAAGTGCTCCATGATAAGCTGCTACGACTTAAAGGAGGCCTTCTACTCGGTTGTAGTCCAACTGGTACATGGTATCCCAGGTGAAGAGGACGAAGTCCAGGAGGTGCTAGAGAACCTCGAGGTTCCCCTGTGGGCCCAGCCGCAGCTGGAACACCTCGTGGCCAACCCAGGGATACTCGACACAGTGTTGGACGGCTCCCACCTGGCCGCCCTCATTGCAGAAGGATATCGCAACAGGTGGACATCACACAGGTTTTCCCAGAACCTTATGGCACCGCACAAGGGCACGAGGCCTGGCGTGCCCCTGGCCGACGCGGACTTCAATCTGCTATTCGGCCGAGTCCACCGCATGATTGACAACTACCTGGCGCAGCGAGGACTACGACCTCAGGGCAAGCCTCTTGACAGCAGCTTCGCATGCGACAACGACCCCACAGATGGGCCACTCCAGGAGCAAGAACCACACGGCCTATCGTTTGTCGATGACCTAACGGGCATGCACGTGTTCACCAGCCCCGACCACATTCAGCATGAGGCCACCGAGTTCTGCGAAGCCGTCTACTGCGCCGCCAGCACCTTCGGCCTCCAGCTGCAACTCACCAAGACCAAGGTGATGATTGACTTCAGTGGGCCTGGGAGCCGGCAAGCGCGGGCCAGTTTCTACGCCGAGGGAGTGCCGAGGATCGAGGTCCCCCTCGCAGGGAGTTACGTCGAGGTGGTTCGTCACCACAAGCTCCTCGGGACCTACGTGACCGACAATGCATCCCCTGGGGTGGATGTCGCAGTGAAGGTAGCCACTGCAGCGACATCCACGAGGCCTCTCCATCGCGAAGTCCACAGGCGATCAGAGCTGGCAATCAAAGACAAGGCCTATTTAGCCGACAGCGTGGTGCTATCCCAGCTATTATACAATGCGTCTACCTGGCCTGAACTCACCGCAGGCCAGGCCAGGAATTTCAACAACCAGTACATCGTCAACTACGCTGCGGCGCAGAGGATCACTTGGAAAGTACGACAGAAAAAGGAAGTAACGAACACCCAGATCCTCGAAGGAGTCGACAAGCTGCCCCCAGAGATAGTCCTGCGACTTGAGAGGTTACGGCTATTTGGCAGGTGCCTCAACTGGGGACCCCTGCACCTCCGCCGGCTACTTAGCCAAGCATGGGACGGTAGTTACGGCTGGGTGGCACTGCTCCGCCGAGACCTGGATTGGGTCCGCGACCACACAGGACCTGACGAGCGTGGTGGAGCATACACGCTCGAGGACTGGAAGGACTGGGCCAGGAACGACTACCAAAGCTACCTCAGCGCAGTAAAGAAAGCTTGCCAACGTGGCAAAGCTCGCCAGTACGACCACGACCACCATGCTCGATGGAGGCTGCGACTCCAACGGTGGACCAACACGGAAGCCATCTCGTCCTTCCCAGACCAGCATTTCGAGCATCAGCGCAAGTACTTATGCTACCACTGTGGACGTACTGAAGCCAGCGCAGCAGTGCTACGAGCACATATCACCAAGGACCACACCTCGTCGGGGCATCCGATTTCGTGGGCAACTGGTTCGGTATGCTACGGATGCGGCATGGATTATCATACTACAAACAGGCTGGTCAAACACTTGCTGAGAGTGCGCAAGTGCGTTCGACATTGGAGAAAGACGCGCCCAGCAATCCTAAGTAGAGACGAGCTGCAGCACAACCAGCAAATTGTCCGCGACCAGCAGCAGGCGAACCGAAGGGCAGGCAGGCCTATCGACTGGGCAGAGAAGCCTGCAGTCCCTGCTCGCCCTCCAGAAATACATACGGACGAGGACAGCGACGACAGCAACGGCGGCCACTACGAGAGCCTTGAGCTGCCCTTCATTGAGGAGCAGCCACCGCCGCCAGCCGCTGTACCGAGGCCCAGACCAGCTCGGACGTTATATGTGCTGCATCTATTCAGCGGCCGTCGCCGAGACGGAGATGTTCAGGACTGGTTTGACCGCCTCAGCAGTCGGGCTGCTTGCGACATACTCATGCTCAGCCTGGACATCGCCAACGACCCGACCTTCGGCGACCTGACATCTGAGGTCGCAGTCAGCAAGTGGCGAGACATGGCACAAGCTGGAGACATGGCACAAGCTGGCGGACCGCCGTGCGAGACCTGGAGCCGAGCGCGCCACTTGCCCCCCAATGGCTGCAGGGGTCGGCCACCAAGACCCCTAAGGGGCGGCAACAGCCTGTGGGGCTTTCGCTACCTTTCCCGCCCAGAGATGGAGCAAGTAGCGACAGGCAACCGCCTATACAGGACACAGCTGGAACTTATGTACATGTGCCTCAATCTGGGAGTCCCAGGCATGCTCGAGCACCCGTCTGAGCCCATCGAGGAGCACTTTGCCAGCTCCTGGAAGCTTCCCGAGACGCGCCATCTCCTGAACCAGCAGGGAGCCGAGCTGATCACCTTCGACCAGTGCACCTGTGGAGCGCGCTCAAGGAAATCCACAAGCCTGATGGCGGTATCACTACCAACCCTCCGAGCAGAAATCAGGAGACTGCCTGGAAGTGGAAGGTGCTTTCACACGGCCTCCTACCATGCGGAGCTGGCAGGCATCAACGATGAAGGCCAGTGGCGCACCGCGCCGGCCAAGGAGTACCCGAACAGGATGTGCCAGGCCATCGCGACCGCACTGGTGAAGCAGATCAGGTGGCGCTTTGGCGAGTCGCCCAACGACGTCCAGGGGTGGCACATCGACGACGACGTGGCCCACTTCTTCCAGCCGCTCGACCACTACAAGACCAGGGAGATGGGTCAGGACTACTATCGAGGCAGCAGGCGGAACGGCTCACCGACCTGGCTGGAAGAGGCAAGGGAGTGGGCCCGGCAGGACCGACCCGACAAGGCAATCGGCAGGGCCGCCACCTCGACAGGAGCTGTTCGGGCACAGGCTGACTACGAGGATCGTGATGAAGCGCCTTGACGACATGTACAAAAGAATCAGAACGCAAGTCCTGAGGAAGCCCCGAAGGCGTGGGAACACCTCAGGCTACGTCGCCAAGTTTTGCACAAGTTGTCAGGACGCAAGACATGGGGAAGCCCCGAATGCGAGGGAACACCCCAGGTTCATGTCGCCACGTTTTGCATAGTGACGGACACGGCCGCCGTACAGCCAGGGCTCAGAAGTACCAGTCCGATGACCCCAACTGCACCAAGTATCAGTCAACGTTGCCCTGGTGAGGCAAGGATCAAACTTCGAGACGGGCTCGAAGGGCGGGGGGGCAGGACGAGGACTGCCCGCGCCCACCAGGGGGGATGGTGAGGGGCAGGGGGGGGGCAGGACGAGTACTGCCCGCGCCCCCGCGGTCCGCCCTAGCTCGCCACCCCCACCATTCCCATGGCGGAGACGGAGCTCCCGAGCGCCCAAGGGCGTAGCATAGGGCAGCGTTGACCTTCCTCATCGACAGCAGAAGAATCACCGGCCTGGGGTTCGCCCCCACCGAGGGCACTGTGACCCCTAGCCATAGCGGGACGAGGCAGGGCCGCCATGAACCCTGCTTGAAGTCGGTGCATGGAGGCCAGAGTGCGCCCGCAATCTATTCCACCTACCAGCAACAAGCCGACCCCCATCGACCTTAACCAGTACGACCACTACTTCATCGGCTGGGAACCGTACCAGGAGAAGAGCCCAACGCAGTCAACCAGTTCATGACCAAGGTGACTGTGACAAGACGAAGAGCCCACCAGCAACGAGGCAGGCTCACTGGCACGTCGAGGAGGCCGACCGCGACGCGGAGCGCCTCGCGCTGGGCCAGAAGGAGAAAATGCGGAAGCCGACGGCATCGCGGAGCTCCTCGCGCTGGGGGCCATCGCGGAGGCCGACGGCACCATGGAGCTCCTCGCGCTGGGCACCATGGAGCTCCTCGCGCTGGGGGCCATCACGGAGGCCAGGGGCGGGCGGGGTCGCCGCCCTCGACGCGATCTGAGGGCCCCGCCGCCCCCGACCATGCGGACGAGCTCAGCTAGGTCCCACCGAGGTGGGTGGGCCCTCGCCGAGCCAAAGGCCAGGGCCCCGCGGGCCCTCGCCCCCCCCTCGGGCCCTTCGCCGACCGGTGTTGGGCCCAACGGGCCCGTCTTTTTCCCTTCCCCTTTCCAGGATTGAAACGGGCCTCCCTCTCCCCCCTCTGTCGGCGGCCGACGGCCGCCGCGCTGCGCTTCAGGGCTGTGACCCTTACGGCGCGTCAAATAGCGGAAATAGCGGGGGGGTGGGGGAAAGGGCCCGGGGCGAACGCGACGGCCCCGCCGGGAGCGGCCCGAAGCCTTCCGAAGAGCGCGCGGGTTGGCCCCGAGTCCCGACGGCCTCACCGCGCGGCGCGGTCGCCGCCGCCCCCGCGCGGGGGGGGGGGGGCCCGAGGAGTGGGAGCGGGGGTGGGGGTGATGGGCCTGTTTTCCACCACCACCACCACCACCATAAGTTGGAGGGAGGAAGGAGGAGGAGGAAGGAGCAGGAGGAGGAGGAAGAAGAGGAGGAGGAGGAGGGGGAGGAAGAACCCCTCCCCTCCAACTTATGGTGGTGGTGGTGGGAACCAGGCCCATCAGGGGGGAAGGCCCGGGGCGAAATCGCTGGCCGCATTTGCTGTCCGCGACGCCCAGATCTGGGCGGCGCCGGGCCCGCAGGCTGCCACCGCCGAGCTCTCCACGGGGGAGCGCGAGGCTCCAGAGGCTCCTGCTGGCGACGAGGGTCTCCGAGGACGAGGCGCCAGGCCAGCAGAGGAGATACTCACACTGGGAACCTAGCCGCAACTAGCCGTGCGAGCAGGCGGGGGCGAGACGCGGAAACCCGCTGCCAACCTGCCCGCCAGTCGGGCGCCGAACCTCTGGAGAAGGCACTCACGCCCGAAGTGCTCGACGAGTCCAGGGGTGGTCTTCCTAGCGGGGCGTGGCGATCAGGCTCTAGCAAGGGAGAAGGAGGGGGAAGGATGAGGGGCATCCATTTTTTCCTCAACGCGTGACAGCTGCAGGCCACAGGAACTCGCGGTGCGCGGCCGCGCGCGGCCTAGCGATCACGGCCCACCTGTCGGCGCAGGACACATAAGTTTGGCCGGCCGCAGAAACCCTGAACCCAACAATGCAGACGTTTTGTTGGTCACTTCCTTAGGCTGAGCGACAAGGGGGGGAACCACGGAGGGGACGTCGACTTGAAATGGGCGATGCATGATCCTGGGCTCCGCCTCCCCTCCAATGCTAATGGGATTGCGTCCCCACCCCCGCGAGATGGTTGCGCCCGTGAGCCTCGCGAAAGTCTCGCGAATGGGATCGTCCCCCCCTCCCTGTGGGCGTGGCACAGTGGGCATGGCGTGGTGGTGGGTGCCGATGTCCCCCCGCAACACTTGTGGATGGGGGCGTGGGATGGTTCGTCGTCGTCGTCTGTCATCGTCGTCGTCGTCTGTCGTCTGTCGTCTGTCGTCTGTCGTCGTCGCCTGTGTCGGCGTCGGCGTCGGCGTCGGCGTCGTCGTTGTCGTCGTCGTCGTCGCCGTCGTCGTAATCGTCGTAGTCGTCGTCCCGTTCCCGTGACCCCCCCCACCCCGTCTGGAGAGAGGGGGGCCGTGGAACCCGGGGACCCGTCCAATCTCGGGGGGAGGCGGGCCTGTGAGCCCCCGACCCGGACAGCGCTGATACGGCGGGGATGGGCCCCCGATTGCGAATCCGTAAGGTCCTGGGGCGGAGCTCAGCTGTCGGGCCCCTCTATCTGCGATGAATGGGCGATTGGGAGTCGACCCATCCCCCCTTGGAGCCGACACCCCCCTAGTGTTAAGTCGGGCGTGTCCCTCTACAAGAGGAGTAGTCATAAATAGTTACCAAGAAAAAATCAGGGGACTAGGTTGGTTTTGCGTAACCCCGATGTTTAAAAACAAAGCAGTCCGAGCCAAAAATGCTCGAATAATATTTCGTGCAGACCACCAAAGATTTTTAGAAGAATCATTTGGTGGGCCTATAGGCGAGCCAGGACGCTTCGCCACTGCTTGAGTGCTGGGCCATGTCGGGCCCCCAACACCGGCTCCAAACGCCAACTCTTGCGATCCCTGTGGGGCATGGGGCCCTCTCCGGAGCGCCGCGTACGGCTACGCTTGGGTCGGGCATGTCCTCCTACAGGCGGTATCGATACCTTTGGGTTTCCCCACCTCCGCCAGCCAAAATACCTAGGACCATAGGGTCACGTAGCCTCGTCTCTATGAAGGGGGCACGTATTGCCGAAACTGTCCACGAAATCCTGCCAGAGCTTGAGCGAAACCGAGGTCCGACCTGTTCCGAACGCGCACGAGTGTGACGCAAGCTTGTGGTTCGAAGTCAATACGATGTTCAATTTCGGGCACACTTTCGGTCACATAATGTTTTCGGTCAGAACTCCGGGCGCGCTTTCGGTGATGCTTTCCGTCAGGGTCCCCTTCCAAGAGTCGCCCAACCTTTTTCAGATGCCTCGCCTTAGCTGGAACACCGTGGTGGCAGTCCTTAGATCTAGCCCTAGCCTCAAGCATTGGACTATTGCCTGGGTCATTCGGATGCGCAACAGCGTGAACATACGGAATAACAGCTGGTTTGGGCGCTGGCTTCTGACAATGAGTGGATCGTTCAGCCTTGAACGATCGGCGGCGCTTTGATCGCCAGACTGTTGGGTAATAACCAATTCTGGGCCACTGGCGGAGTTCAACATTAAACGACCGCGCTGGGGTCACAACCGCGTCGACACGACACAGGTCTGCCGAACGTTTTCTCCTCCGTGCGTGCTCTGGGGTAGCCAACGTCGGCACACAAACCTCAGTGGATCAGACATCCTTGCAAATGCCCACTGCACTATGGACCTAAGACCCAGCAGGTGGCTAACATTGCAACTGTTTGATGCACTTGACCCCGCACCTAGACATCATCCGATATGATGTGGTGGTTCAAAGCGCGGCCCCAGCCCCGGTGCTCCCGACCCCCTCCCCGACACTAGCCTTTCGCTGAAGATCCGTATTTGATGGTCCCAGGGCCCAATGTCGGGCCCGAAAGACCTATATCGAGGCAAACACAGCCGTTGAAACAATCATACTCGGATGGCGCGGAGGTTGCTAAGTGGATAGGGAGTTACCTGTGGATGCCAAAGCTAATAATATCTGGACTGGCCTAGATTACATGTCGGATACAAGCGCCAAGAAAGTGGCTGGGGGGTTAAATATCTCCAATGAGTGGGAGGACTCCATTTTGACCGGATCTTTACCCCCCTCAGCCACTTCAGGCACCTGTTGTTCACGTATAAGCTAGGTTTGGCCAGATGTATAAATCACCGTGGCCTGCACATAACCACCATATGCCCTTAGCAACCCCTGCGCCGATCCAAGTACCGTAGGACATCTGGGTATGTTTTCTCTCTTCCACCGGCGGTTGAACGAAAATCATACCGTCGGAAACCTGGGTTCTCGGGCCAGAGTTCGGCGGGACCATTCGGGACGGCGCTGGCACCTCCGGACAGCTGGCGACGAGGGGCAGGCAGCTGCTGGACACAATCTCGAGGCAGGGAAAGCCCCCACAGACCGACGAAAACGCATGACATCCTCGAACCCCGAGCACCGGCAGAAGCTGCTGCTTCTTCTTCGAGCAGGGGGCGCTCCTCCGAGACGCCCTGGTACCCAAACGAAGCCAGGACGAGGACGACATCGGGCGAGGATCCACCGCGAACCTCCAAGATCCCGCGGCGCTGGGGGAGGTCTCGGGCGCCGCGGGCTCCGCAAGGCGTCCAGGGACGCTCTGGAAGCGTTCCAGGACGCTCCTGCACGGACCTAGCATCGTCCCAGCCCTGCCCGAGGTACAGAGGCCTCCTAGCTAGGGTCCGGGCAGACGGGGTCGGAGGATCGCGCCGCATCGCCGATGCATCGCCAATGCATCGGCAATGCGTCGGCGATGCATCAGCCACGTCGGCGATGGATCGGCGACGTCGGCGTGAAGAAAAACGGGCACCACAGCGAGCCGCATCGCCGATGCCTCGGCGACGCGTGGTTATCCTCCGGCCCCATCTACTCGCACCCCCTCTGAGAGGCCCAGGTGGCCCTGTCCGAAGTAACGTCGGGGCGCTGACCCAAGGAAACCGAAATAAGGAACGAGGCCCCCTTTTGTCTACAAGCTCAGCTTCGATCTCCCATCGAAAAATCCAAAGGACAACATCAGGCAAGCTGCGAAACAATCAAGGAACACCGAGCCCCTGCCCAACGAGAAGGGCTCCCGTTTCAGCACCCCGACTGAGTATCGTTTAACCGATCCCCATCCCCCAGCGGCGTGGCCTGGGCCCCACTGGCCGATGTACCCCCCTAGATGGGGATCTAGGTCGTTCCCTTCGGGTCTCGAGGGGTGGTAATTTGGTGGGGGTCTCGAAGGAGATGGGGATGGGGATGAGAACTGGTGAAACTTGATCAGGGACCGACAGTCCCGTCATTCCTACAGGCCTACCACGGCATGTTTTTAGAACCCAGCAATGTTCGAAGAACAGAAGCAGTGCTCTTAGCACGTGAGCCCGACGTGTTAACACAAGGCAGCCTCAGCCAGAACTGCTCTGAGAACATCCCGAGCCGACCACAACAAGGTTCTCAGAGCATTCTTCGGCGGCAGGCCTACAGGCGAGCTAACACGCTCCGCCACTGCTTGATAAACGATACCGACCCGACTGTCTGCTTGGTCGCCCGCGATGGGTACGGAAAACACGGGTACAATGCCCAACAACACATGTGGTCCCAAACCAGCAGCGGGCGCGCCGCGGCGGCGCGGACGGCGAGTCCTGATCAAAATCAACAGAAACTGGTGTTGGTCGGAAGCCGGGTAAGGGCTGCTAAATCCGTGGCTGCTAAGATCGACCTCCGGGAAGTTGTCTTCCTCCTTCCGGGAAGACTCCCGTTGACTGTTCCGCGTGCCGCGCCTCCTTCCGGGAAGTTGCTTTTTCCTTCCGGGAGGGCCGTTTTAGCAGCCACGGTGTTACCAGCCCTTGCCCAGCTTTCGAGTTGGGCATTGTACCCATTCTTTCCGTACCCATTTCGTTCGTGCAGGGTCTGCTTTCTGCCCCGCCCCCGGCCGCCACGCGCGCGCCGAGGTCGGCGAGCGTCGCGCCGCGCCAGGGAGGCGACGGCACCGCCGCGGCGGCGCCGCGAGGGCGAGCGGGAGCGGGGCGGCGCTGGCCCTGCCGCGCAGCAGCTGCGACGCGCCCTGCACGGCCTGGCAGCCGAGGCTCGCGGAACCGATCCCTGCGAGTCCTCCTCCTCCTCCTCCTCCTCCTCCGGGCCCGCTGCTCGTGTGGTTCTCGGGCGGGTGGGAAAGGGGGGCGAAGGGGTACCTGCATGGGGGGTGCAGGAAGAGGGCCCTGGCCCCTGGTGGGCCCCCTGCCGCGTGGAAGCCGAGGCTCGTGGAAGCGATCCCCACAAAGCCCGTCTCTGGCATGGCTCTCGGGCGGGTGGTCCTGGGGAGTCACCTGCATGGGGGGTGCAGGAAGGGGCCCTCAAGGGGCCATTCATGGCCCTCTTTGGGCCATTGTCTTCACCCCCACGAGGGGGCCATTCATGGCCCTCTTTGGGCCTCAAGGGGCCATTCATGGCCCTCTTTGGGCCATTCATGGCCCTCTTTGGGCCCTCAAGGGGCCATTCATGGCCCTCTTTGGCCTCTTTGGCCCACTTGGGTCACCGCCCATTTCCACCCGCCCGAGCTTCGCGACATCCCCCGTGGCCGGCCCCGCCCCCCCCACGCCCTCCACACCCTGGCCACGTCACGATGCGCGCCGGCGCCGCCTGCATGCGCCAAGCAGTCGCGGACTGCGGTGGCGCGACTCGTGGCGTGACCAGCCCCCTCACCCCCTCCCCGCCCTGGGTCACGGCCGCTATCGTCGTGGAAGAAAGGCACGGTCTCTATAAATCCGCACTGGAGTGGCCTAGGCCATATTGGCCGACTTGCCAAACGGACTGGCCCTGCCCTGGAGCAGCTGCGACGCGTCCTCCACGGCCTGGGGTCGACTCTCTCGATCGGACGTGAACTGCGTCGGGAGGCCCATGAAGAAGAAGATGTTGTGCCCCTTAGGGCTTATATTTTCTGATCCAGGATTTTCCCTGAAGCGCATTCAGTCCATTATGGGTTCATTCGGCTTTCGGGTACATACGTGTGTACACCTATATGACTACCCTTCGGGTGATCAGGAGGTTCGGGGGCGAGTAACCCACGTCTCACTCAATCGGTCACACTCAGTTGATCTCACGATCGATCTCACTGGATAGATCTCACTGCCGATCTCGCAATCGATCTCACAATCGATCTCACTATCGAGCTTAGTATCAATATCACGATCCCTCTCACAAGCGATCTCATTAACCCTCTCACAATCGATCTCGCAACTTATGTCACTATCGATAGTATATTCGACGATGTCGCTATCCCAAGTACTTTTGTTACACAATCGATCTGACTATCGATCTCGCAATTGATCTCACTATCGATCTCATTATCGATAACACTGTCGACGTTACGATCGATCTCACTACTGATCTCACTATGGATCGTACTATCGACCTCATTTCCGATCGCACCATCGATCTCACTATCGACCTCACAGGACTCCACGGGACACCACGGGACACCAGGGGACACCGCGCCACAGGACAGCACAGGCCACCGCGGGACAACACGGGACACCACGGGACACCATCGGGACACCACGGCGGGACACCACGGCGGGACACCCCAGGCCACCGCCGGAAACCCAGAGGGAACGGCATTTTGTTTGGCCCAGCGGTGCCCTAGCCACTGTAGGGTTCATCCTCTCTCCCGCCCACACAGCCTCGCCTCGCCCGCACACACGACTCGACCATGAAACCGACACCGATTTCCCAATGTGGGGCTCTCCTTTTCGCTGTGGTCTCACCCCCTTGCCTCCGACACACATGTTACTCGAAGTCCCAAAGACATTCACCTTTACGACCACCCTTAGGGTGATAAGGAGGCTGGGAGGGGAAGAACCAAGTGAGGATGGTGCCGATGCGGGTGATGCGCCCACCCAGTTGGCGACGATGCAGGACGACGATGATGACGACAATGCGTGATGGCACTGAGACGCCACCGACCGGACACCGACGGGACACCACGGCGGGACACCACAGCGGGACACCCCTGGCCACGCCGGCCCACTTGAGGGGCGGTCCTCAGTCTCGAACGGACCTAATCACATCGGAAGCATTCCTCGCCCGCACGCACGACACGAACCCGACACCGATTTCCCAGTGGAGGGCTCCCCTTTTCACATCGATCTCACCCCCCAACCTCCGATGCACTTCGCGATTTGTGCGTGTCATCCTTGCGCGGGAGCCATGCTAATCTTCGTTGCGCCGTTCAAATGTTGACGGTTGATTCCCGAAGGGAGTCCTACTTCCGACACGCATGCGCATGCACGTATCATGCGAATGATGTGTACATGTGTACGCACAACTCAACATGAACAGCCAAATGCACAAATCCATGTATGACTTCTGGCGCACATGACATCGGGAGGCGTACACACATGTAGGTATAGGTGTGTGTGTGGATGTGCAAATATGCACATTTCCAAGGCGCCTACGGCGAATCACCGCCGCCCCCTGCGCTTTGGACACGCCCTATGCGGCCAACCGTTTGGCCGAAGTCAGGCACGCTATTGGACTGTGTGATCTCCCAGCCGTTGTGGAATCCCTCGGGGTGGCAATGGGGAGAGGACGAGAAAGGAGGAGGAGAGGGGGGAGAATGCGCAGGAGGAAGACGAGGAGGCCTCTTGAGGCCCTCTTGGGGCTCTTGGGGACTGCCTGGAAGCCTTCAGGGGCGCCCTGGAAGCCTCCTGGGGCCTCTTGGCCTCTTGAGGGCCTCCTGGCCGTCGGGCTCGAGGGCCGTGTTGGCGGGTCCCTGTGGCCGTCTTGGGGCCTCTTGGGCTGCCTTGGAGCGCCAGAGCGTTACCGTCATTGAGACACACGAGGAATCTCAAGGTGTCTGGCCTCCTGGAAATCCTCTTGGAGCCCACTCGGGGCGTCCTCTTGGCCTGATGGGCCGTCGGGGGGACATACTGGGCCATCTTGAGGCCATCTGTGCTGCCTTGGAAGCGTCCTTGGGACCGTCTGGGAGGCCATCTTGGGTCCTCTTGGCAATCCTTCTTGGAACCATCTTGGCCGTCTTGGAGGCCGTCTCGGGGGCCTCTTGAGCAGTCGTTGGGCCCTCTCAGGGCTGTCTCGGGGGCCCCTTGGGCCGACATCGGCCTTCCTGGCAGCTCTCTTAGGCGATCTCGGGCCATCTTGGGTGTCTGCTGGGTCGTTCTGGGTCGTGGGACGGCCGAAAAGGAGCAACAACTAAAATGGAAAACCTAAACAAACAATGATGTTTGCCTTTCCGGGCCTTCCCGCATGTCCTCTCGGAGGGCTCTTGGGCCGTCTTGGAGGCATCTTGGGCAGTCTTGGGCCATCTGGAGGCCAACTTATTCCGAGTTGGCTGCATCATGGGCCGTCTTGAATGCATTGTGCTGCCATCTGAAGCTCTCTTGGAGCGCTGAACAGCCGTCGTGGAGGCCATCTTGGGCGTCTTGGACGCCTCTTGGGGCGCCTTGGGGCCCTCTTGGGGGCCCCTTGGCCCTTCCTGGGGCCATCTTGGAGTTCTCTCGGGCGATCGTGGTGGCCTCGTCGTCTTGGGCTGTCCGGTGACAATTTTTTAGCAAATGCCAGAATCCACCAAAACTCGCAGGGAAATCAATTATTTGGCATCTTCGCGCCATTCTGGAGGACCTCTTGGAAGCAACTTGGGCCGTCTGGGGGGCCTCTTGGGCGCGTCTTGGGCCGTCTTGGGCTCTCTTGGACCATCTGGGCGGTCTTGGAGGCATCTTTGGACCATCTTGGAGGCCATCTTGGGCCTACCTCTATCTTGGGCCCACTTGGCGCCATCTTGGCCGTCTGGGAGGCTATCTGGGCCGTCTTGGAGGCCACACTGAGCGGGAAAGCCGACGGAAGATGCGCCTGGAAGAGTGTTCCGGTGCCCGGCGGGATCGGCCGAAGCTTCCAGGAGAGTCCGCCGCCCCTGGTGATGAATGACTGGGGTGCCCGGCGTGCTAGATCCTTTCGATTTTGGTTTTGGTTCTTCTCCAGAAAAGAACTCCAACTGGGGCTTCGGCCGATCCCGCCAGGGTCCTGGAAAAGCCCAGAAACGACCTTAACGACCGCAAAACATTCTCCAAGATGGCTCAAGATGGCCTCTGACATGATCACGTGGTCACGTTGGCCCAAGATGGCCCCCAAGATGGCCCAAGATGGCCTCCTAGTCGCCCAAGATGGTCCAAGATGGATTCTCAGACGGCCCGAGAGAGTCCAAGATGCCTTCAAGTTCGTCCAAGAAGCCTCCAAGACGGCCCAAGATGGCTCCAAGATGGCCTAAGACTGGCCAAGAGGCTCCCAAGAGGCCTCCAAGAGCTCCACCAGGAAGACCCGAAAGGGCAAAATTCATTGATGTTCTTGAGGTGTTTGAAGGATTTTGGCATGTTCTTCAGATCAGCTCTCCGACGGCCCAAGAAGGCCCCAAACATCGTCCCGAGAGCGCCAAAGAGGTCTCCAAGATGGCCCCGTGACAGCCCAAGAGGCCCCCAAGAGAGCCCCATGAAGAGCCCAAGACCGCCCAAGATGGCCCCCAAAACGCCGAAGATGGCCTCCAAGACGGCCAAGATAGCCTCCACAATGCCTCCAAGACGACCAAGAAGGCCTTCAAGACGGCGAAGATGGCCCCAAGATGCACCCAAGACGGCCCCACATAGCCTCAAGATGGCCTTAGACTGCCCAAAACGCCCGCAAAAGGCCTCCAAGATGGCCCAAAACCGCTCGAAGACGTCCTCCAGGAGGCCCGAAAGCTCGGAAACCATCTGGTCCGATAGCTCGCCCGACTCCGTGTTCCCCGAAAGCTTTCGAAACCCAGTCGGGGAACGCGTGGCCCGATAGTTTGGCCAAGCCCAAACCCAACTTTCGGCCACGCAGGCACTTCCAAAAAGGCAGGGGGCGGCGGTGATTCGCCGCAGGCGTCTTCGACCTTAAAAAGAACCAAAAACAACTACAAGTTCAGCACGCCAGGCACCCTAAGGGGCGGCGGATCGAAGACGCCCACGGCGAATCACCGCTGCCCCCAGCCGTTTAGGATACGCCCATGTGGCCGTGGCCAAATGTTTGGGCAACATGCGGCCGCGCTATTGGACCATGCGGCCCCCCAGCCGGTGTGGAGGCCCTCTGGGGAACAGAAGGATGAGGAAAAGGATGGGGAGACCTGTTGGGAGTTTCTGGGGTCATAATTGGGGCCTCCTGGGAACTTCCTGGGGGTTTCTGGTTTCTTGGAGGGCCTTTGGGGGTGCTTCGGGGGCCGCCTTGGCCGTCTTACGGCTTTCTTGGCCCGTCTGACACCGTCAGAAGGTGTCTTGGGAGCGCCCTCTGGGGGCCGTCGTGGGGGCCTCTTGGGCAGTCGTGGGGCCATCTCGGAGGCCTCTTGGGCGAGCTTGGGGGCCTCTTGGATCGTCTTGGTCCGTCGAAGGCTATTTTGAAGCAAATGTTGAACCTCTTCAAACATCACGGGAAATCAATGATATGGGCCTCTTCGGGCCGTCCTGGAGGACCTCTTGAAGGCCTCCTTGGCTGTCTTGGGGGTCTCTTGGCGGTCGTGGAAGCATCCTGGGACCACCTTGTCCGCCGTCCTGGGTCTCTCTTGCTCTCACCCGAGGCCGTCTTGGCCGTCTGGGAGGCCATCCTGGCAGCGCCTCGGAAGCCGTCTCGAACAGAACAGCCAGTGGAAGACGCGCCTGGAAGAGCTTCCCGGGTGGCCGGCGGGTTAGGCCAAAGTCCCAGAGGGGAGTGCGAGGAGGAGGAGGAGGAGGAGGAGGAGGAGGAGGAGGGAGGAGGAGGAGGGAGGAGGAGGGAGGAGGAGGGAGGAGGAGGAGGAGGAGGGAGGGAGGAGGGAGGAGGGAGGAGGAGGAGGGAGGAGGGAGGAGGGAGGAGGGAGGAGGGAAGAAGCGACGCCAGCGAACAGTTCGGCACGTTGGGCACCCCCTGTGAGGAGCCCACGGGGCGCGGCGGATATCGAAGACGCCCGCGGCGAATCCCCCCGGCGCCCCCTGCCTTTTTTGGAATCGCCAATGTGGCCGAGCGTTGCGGCAAGAGCTCTGCCAGGCTGCCGGGACATGTGTTGCCCCAGCCGCTGTGGAAACCCCTCCGGGGAACACTTTGGAGGAGGATGGCGGGGAAGATCAGGAGGAGGAGGAGGAGGAGGAGGAGGAGGAGGAGGAGGAGGAGGGGGCATCTCGGGAGTCTCTGCGGGCACTCTTGGGGCCTCGTGGAAGCTTCCTGGGAGCCTCTTGGGAGCATCTTGGGGGCCTCCTTGGGCCTCTTGGGAGCCTTTTGGGGTCCTCGGGAGCCTCTGTGGCCGTCTTGGGGCATTCCTGGCCCGTCTGACGCCATCGCAGGCCGTCTTGGGGGCCTCTCTGGGCCGACTTAGGGTCTGCTTGGGGTGCTCCAGGGTCTTGGAGGCCACCTTGGGCGTCTTCGAAGCCTCTTGCGCCATCTTGGGGTCCTCTGAGGGCCGTCTTGGGGGCCTCTTGTGTTGTTTTGCGACCATATTGGGGGCCCCTTGGGCGATATTGGGGCGATCTTTCGGGGCTCTTGGGCCGTTTTGGGCCGTCCGAAGACCGAAAAGAAGCATGTGCCCAAATCCTTCAAATGTCCGTCGTCGAAAGAACGACGAGGGGCCGCTAAGCCAGACCAGAGTAAGCCTGGAATTCAGCCAAAGCTGGATTACATAGAATTATGCCTGATTGGCCTGGTTGGGCCAGTGTTCAACCACACATGCGCCGATGCGGATTGTAACACCACAGGCACTGCACTCTAAATGATACGAGCGGCTCAGGACACATCCCAGGATTTCTGGAGCATCCATCGGCCCCCGTCCCTGGAGCCCGTGCGGAACCAGCGGAGACCTGGAACGCATCATCACCATGACGCCTCGCTCCTCTGACCCGAGGCTTTCGAAGGTTCGGTCGTCCTCGTGGCCTCGGCTGCCCTCGTGGCCCTCGTGGCCCCTCGTGGCCCTCGTGGCCTCGGCTGCCCTCGGGGCTTGCGCCTCCCAGGGCGCCCTCGTGGCCCCGGCTGCCTCGAGGTTCGGGCCAGAGAATAATCAAGGATGAATTCTCGGGGGTCCATCTTTGGCCCCTAGGGCCCAAGGATCCCTGCCGGGACCTGCCCCTGCCGGGCACCGGGACCCTCAAAAGGCACTGGGACACAAAATCTGGTCCTGTGACCTCCGAGACCTACATTCCGAACAAACTACGACGCCAGAGGTCTGGGCCCTCCCGGCAGCCTCCGCCGCTTCTTGCAGGGCCTGCCTCGCCGCATCGGAGCTGCGCTGGCGGCGCATGACGTAGCGCCGCAACTCCGTGTCCATCGCCACCTGGGCCTCGTGCACATTCTCCAGGACACCGTCGAACTCCTGGTTGGGGTAGTCCTCCTCTTCCTCGAGCCGCCTCCCGCTGGACAGCGCGGACGCCCAGGCGGTGCCACCAGGCTGGCGCCGCGGGGTGCGCACCAGCTGATCCATCACCTGCGACCCCTCCGCCCTCGTGATCTTGTACATGTCCATCGCCCCGCGCGCGTCCCCCAGCTTCTCCTGCACGCCGCGCAGCCCGTCCGCCAGGCTGGGGCCGTCGCTCGCCGGCCCCTCGCCGCCCTCGAGCTCACCGCCTCCCTCCCTGGGCTCCCTGCTGCTGGCCCCCTTCCGCCTGGCCTCCCCCGACGCCTCCACGAAGGCCCCGGGCTCCGCGCGGGAGAGCATCGACGCCGAGGCTCCGCGGCTCTGCTGGCGCATCCGCTTCACCTCCTCGGAGATGTCCTGCAACCGCCCCTCGATGTTCCCAAGTTCAGCCAACAAGCCCTTGCCGCTTGCCCCGGACTTCGCTGCCACCCCGTCGGTCTCACCGCCGGCGGACGCGTCTGCGACATCCTCCTCGGCTCGGCACATCTTACATGTTCCATGGGCGTTTCAGCATTTTCAATTCGGCGTTATGGGCACCATTATAATGAAGTTGTCTTCAGCCTCAACAGAAAACAATAACACCCACACAAACAACAAGTGTTAGATGTTTGGCTGGCGTTTTCAAATGTGTCGTTTCCCGTCGTTGGAGCCCACCGCAGACGGGCCGTGCGCTTCCCGGCTTGTTTCGCACTGGTGTCACAACGGTGCCATTGCGCTTGTTTGCTTTGCCGTTTCAAGCTCTGCGTGCGGAAACCAATCTTCGCCCCCGCCTGTACGATGGATCTTACGATGCAAGTGCAAACGCAACAGAAAAAATACCCTGGCGACGTACCCAACCCCTGCGCAATGCGGCGCATGAGTAGATTGGGAGACGTTATACGGAGGTGATGACGTGACATGGGCGCAGATACTTCTGCGAGCTGCATTCGTGAGGCTCGCAGCCCCCCCAAGGATTGCGATGTCCCGCTCAGCTCTGCCTGGTGCCTCACTCCGCAGGACCCACCAGCAGCCCTCGAAAGTGGCGACAGCTTCGCAAATCGCAGCCGCCCAGGGACGGCGAGGTCCCGCTCAGGTCCGCGCGGTGCCTCACTCCGCAGGACCCACCAGCAGCCCTCGGACCCACCAGCAGCCCTCGAAAGTGGCGACAGCTTCGCAGATCGCAGCCACCCCAGGGACGGCGAGGTCCCGCTCAGGTCCACGCGGTGCCTCACTCCGCAGGACCCCCCAGCAGGCCTCGAAAGTGGCGACAACTTCGTAGATCGCAGCCCCCCAAGGACGGCGAGGTCCCGCTCAGGTCCGCGCGGTGCCTCACTCCGCAGGACCCACCAGCAGCCCTCGAAAGTGGCGACATATTCGCAGACCGCAGCCCCCCAGGAACTGCGAGGTCCCGCTCAGGCCCGCGCGGTGCCTCACTCCGCAGGGCCCACCAGCAGCCCTCGAAAGTGGCGACCGCACGCAGCCCCCCAGGACGGCGAGGTCCGCTCAGGTCCGCGCGGTGCCTCACTCGCAGGACCCACCAGCAGCCCTCGAAAGTGGCGACAGTTTCGCAGATCGCAGCCACCCAGGGACGGCGAGGTCCCGCTCAGGTCCGCGCGGTGCCTCACTCCGCAGGACCCACCAGCAGCCCTCGAAAATGGCGCAGATCGCAGCCCCCCAGGGACGGCGAGGTCCCGCTCAGGTCCGCGCGGTGCCTCACTCCGCAGGACCCACCAGCAGCCCTCGAAAGTGGCGACAGTTTCGCAGATCGCAGCCCCCCAGGGACGGCGAGGTCCCGCTCAGGTCCGCGCGGTGCCTCACTCCGCAGGACCCACCAGCAGCCCTCGAAAGTGGCGACAGTTTCGCAGATCGAAGCCCCCCAGGGACGGCGAGGTCCCGCTCAGGTCCGCGCGGTGCCTCACTCCGCAGGACCCACCAGCAGGCCTCGAAAGTGGCGACAGTTTCGCAGATCGCAGCCCCCCGGGGACGGCGAGGTCCCGCTCAAGTCCACGCGGCGCCTCACTCCGCAGGACCCACCAGCAGCCCTCGAAAGTGGCGACAACTTCGCAGATCGCAGCCCCCCAGGGACGGCGAGGTCCCGCTCAGGTCCGCGCGGTGCCTCGCTCCGCAGGACCCACCAGCAGCCCTCGAAAGTGGCGACAGTTTCGCAGACCGCAGCACTCCAGGGACGGCGAGGTCCCGCTCAGGTCCGCGCGGTGCCTCGCTCCGCAGGACCCACCAGCAGCCTTCGAAAGTGGCGACAGTTTCGCAAATCGCAGCCCCCCAGGGACGGCGAGGTCCCGCTCAGGTCCGCGCAGTGCTTCACCCCGCAGGACCCACCAGCAGCCTTCAAAAATGGCGACAGTTTCGCAGATCGCAGCACCCCAGGGACGGCGCCGTCCCGCTCAGGTCCGCGCAGTGCCTGACCCCGCAGGACCCACCGCAGCCTTCGAACGTGGCGACAATTTCGCAGATCGCAGCCCCCCAGGGACGGCGAGAAGGTCCGCGGCGTCACTCCGCACCCCAGCAGCCCTCGAAAGTGGCGACGTTTCGCAGATCGCAGCCCCCCAGGGACGACGAGGTCCCGCAGGTCCCGCGGGGGCCTCGCTCCGCAGGACCCACCAGCCGCCCCCGAAAGTGGCGACAGTTTCGCAGATCGCAGCCCCCCAGGGACGGCGAGGTCCCGCTCAGGTCCGCGCGGTGCCTCGCTCCGCAGGACCCACCAGCAGCCCTCGAAAGTGGCGACAGTTTGGCAGATCGCAGCCCCCCAGGGACGGCGAGGTTCCGCTCAGGTCCGCGCAGCGCCTCGCTCCGCAGGACCCACCAGCAGCCCTCGAAAGTGGCGACAATTTCGCAGGTCGCAGCCCCCCAGGGACGGCGAGGTCCCGCTCAGGTCCGCGCGGTGCCTCACTCCGCTGGGCCCCCCAGCAGCCCTCGAAAGTGGCGACAGTTTGGCAGATCGCAGCCCCCCAGGGATGGCGAGGTCTAATTTGAATCTGCGTGTGGCGTCACTGTGCTGGGCCCCCCAGCAGGCCTCGAAAGTGGCGACAGTTTCACAGATCGCAGCCCCCCAGGGACGGCGAGGTCTAATTTGGGTCCGCGCGTGGCGTCACTGTGCTTGGCCCCCCAGCAGGCCTCGAAAGTGGCGACAGTTTCACAGATCGCAGCTCCCCAGGGATGGCGAGGTCCAATCTGGGTCCGCGCGTGGCGTAGCTGTGCTGGGCCCCCCAGCAGCCCTCGAAGTGGTGACAGTTTCACAGATCGCAGCCCCCCAGGGATGGCGAGGTCCAATTTGGGTCCGCGCGTGGCGTCACTCCGCAGGACCCCCCAGCAGGCCTCGAAAGTGGCGACAATTTCACAGATCGCAGCCCCCCAAGGACGGCGAGGTCCCGCTCAGGTCCGCGCGGTGCCTCACTCCGCAGGACCAACCAGCAGCCCTCGAAAGTGGCGACATTTTCGCAGACCGCAGCCCCCCGGGGACGGCGAGGTTCCGCTCAGGTCCGCGCGGTGCCTCACTCCGCAGGACCCACCAGCAGCCCTCGAAAGTGGCGACAGTTTCACAGATCGCAGCCCCCCAGGGACGGCGAGGTCCCGCTCAGGTCTGCGAGGTGCCTCACTCCGCAGGACCCACCAGCAGGCCGCGAAAGTGGCGACAGTTTGGCAGATCGCAGCCCCCCAGGGATGGCGAGGTCTAATTCGGGTCCGCGCGTGGCGTCACTGTGCTGGGCCCCCCAGCAGGCCTCGAAAGTGGCGACAGTTTCACAGATCGCAGCCCCCCAGGGATGGCGAGGTCTAATTTGAATCCGCGCGTGGCGTCACTGTGCTGGGCCCCCCAGCAGGCCTCGAAAGTGGCGACAGTTTCACAGATCGCAGCCCCCCAGGGATGGCGAGGTCTAATTTGGATCCGCGCGTGGCGTCACTGTGCTGGGCCCCCCAGCAGGCCTCGAAAGTGGCGACAGTTTCACAGATCGCAGCCCCCCAGGGATGGCGAGGTCTAATTTGGGTCCGCCCGTGGCGTCACTGTGCTGGGCCCCCCAGCAGGCCTCGAAAGTGGCGACAGTTTCACAGATCGCAGCCCCCCAGGGATGGCGAGGTCTAATTTGAATCTGCGGTGGGTACCCACTGTGCTGGGCCCCCCAGCAGGCCTCGAAAGTGGCGACAGTTTCACAGATCGCAGCCCCCCAGGGATGGCGAGGTCTAATTTGAATCCGCCGCGTCGCCCTCTGTGCTGGGCCCCCCAGCAGGCCTCGAAAGTGGCGACAGTTTCACAGATCGCAGCCCCCCAGGGATGGCGAGGTCTAATTTGGGTCCGCGCGTGGCGTCACTGTGCTGGGCCCCCCAGCAGGCCTCGAAAGTGGCGAAAGTTTCACAGATCGCAGCCCCCCAGGGATGGCGAGGTGTAATTTGGGTCCGCGCGTGGCGTCACTGTGCTTGGCCCCCCGGCAGGCCTCGAAAGTGGCGACAGTTTGGCAGATCGCAGCCCCCCAGGGATGGCGAGGTCCAATTTGGGTCCGCGCGTGGCGTCACTGTGCTGGGCCCCCCCGGCAGGCCTCGAAAGTAGCGACAGTGTCATAGATCGCAGCCCCCCGCAGGCAAGACATGAGGAGGCAGGCAGGAGGCAGGAGGGAGGCGGGAGGAGACGCGCGAGCAGTGCTGCATTCAAAACGAATACCCAACCAACGAGGGTTGGGAATAAAGCAGGAAGCAGGACGCAGGAGGAGGCAGGGAGGCGGGAGGAAGGAAGGTGGAGACCACACTTCCTTATTCATCAGAACGAATGCCCAGCCAATGAGGCTTGGCAACAATACTTGAAATGCGCTTCTCGCGCTTCCAACCTGCCCAGCGCCCAACACAGAAAAAGGCTTCACACCAAAACGCCTCGAACCTCTTCACACACGGACCAGGCTCACCGCTGGCCGCCGACTCGGGAGACGGTGCGGCCTCCAGGTCCGCCTGGGCAACGACCTTCGCCTGCGCCGCCTCCTCCTTGACCATGGCTGCCTCTACGGCACCCTCGCCGTCGCCCCCCTTGCCTGCCTTGGCACTGACCGGCGCGGCATCGACGTCCCCGCCGTCGGCCGCACTGGCTTCGTCCTCCATCGTGGCGTCGACGCCCTCGCCCTCGCCCTTCTTCGCCACTCCCGCCTCGGCGCTGGCGTCCTCGTCGCCCTCGGCATTCTTGACCTTGCCCGCCGCGGCGCTGGCGTCCTCGTCGCCCTCGCCCTTCTTGGCCTTGCCCGCCTCGGCGCCCGCGTCCTCGTCGCCCTCGCCCTTCTTGGCCTTGCCCGCCTCGGCGCCGGCGTCCTCATCGACCTCAGCCTTCTTGCCCTTCCCTGCCTTGGCGACGGCGTCCTCGTCGCCCTCGCCCTTCTTGACCTTACCCACCTCGGCGCCAGCCTCCTCGTCGCCCTTGGCATCCTTTGGTCTCCCCAGCACGGCGATGGTACCATAGTCACCCTCCTCGCCCTTCTTGGCCTTGCCCGCCTCTGCGCTGGCGTCCTCGTCGCCCCCCGCCTTCTTGCCCTTGCCCGCCTCGACGCTGGCGTCCTCGTCTCCCTCACCCGTCTTAGCCTTGCCCGCCTCGACACCGGCGTCCTCGTCGCCCTCGCCCTTCTTGGCCTTGCCTTCCTCGGCGCCGGCGTCTTCGTCGCCCTCGCCCTTCTTGCCCTTGCCTGCCTCGGCACTGGCGTCATCGTCGCCATCGTCGCTGATCTCGCCCTTCTTGCCCTTGCCTGCCTCGGCCTTGCCCGACTCGTCGCCCTCGCCCTTCTTGGCCTTGCCCGCCTCGGTGCCGGCGTCCTCGTCCCCCTCAGCCTCCTTAGCCTTGCCCGCCTCCTCGCCCTCGCCCCTCTTAGCCTTGCCCGCTTTGGCACTGGCGTCCTCCTCCTCGCCATCGCCCTTCTTGGCCTTGCCCGCCTCTGCGCTGGCGTCCTCGTCGCCCCCGGCCTTCTTTCCCTTGCCCGCCTCGACGCTGGCGTCCTCGTCTCCCTCACCCTTCTTAGCCTTGCCCGCCTCGACACTGGCGTCCTCGTCGCCCTCGCCCTTCTTGGCCTTGCCAGCCTCTGCGCCGGCATCCTCGTCGCCCTCACCCTTATTGGCCTTGCCCGTCTCGGCGCCGGCGTACTCGACGCCCTCGCCCTTCTTGGTTGCGGCCGAGTGCTTGGCTACCCTGCCGCCTGTCGCTTCGGCAATGGCGCCCTCGCACTTCTCGGCGCACTTTTCGTTGCCGAGGAACTTATCGTCTTTGAGGTTGCACCCCGAGGGAACAGGAACCTTCACCTCGACCTCCCCGCCGCAGGGCCGACAAGTACCGCTCGCAGACCACGCGATGGAGCCATCCTCGCACTTGCAGCACTTGGAGACGCCGTCCTCTCCCTCGCTCGCCTTGGGCTCGCCCGCCACGCCGCTGGCATCCTCGGCCTTGCCCGACTCGTCGCCCTCGCCCTTCTTGGCCTTGCCCGCCTCGGTGCCAGCGTCCTCGTCCCCCTCGGCCTCCTTAGCCTTGCCCGCCTCCTCGCCCTCGCCCTCCTTAGCCTTGCCCGCTTTGGCACCGGCGTCCTCCTCCTCGCCCTCGCCCTTCTTGGCCTTGCCCGCCTCTGCGCTGGCGTCCTCGTCGCCCCCCGCCTTCTTGCCCTTGCCCGCCTCGACGCTGGCGTCCTCGTCTCCCTCACCCGTCTTAGCCTTGCCCGCCTCGACACCGGCGTCCTCGTCGCCCTCGCCCTTCTTGGCCTTGCCTTCCTCGGCGCCGGCGTCTTCGTCGCCCTCGCCCTTCTTGCCCTTGCCTGCCTCGGCACTGGCGCCATCGTCGCCATCGTCGCTGATCTCGCCCTTCTTGCCCTTGCCTGCCTCGGCCTTGCCCGACTCGTCGCCCTCGCCCTTCTTGGCCTTGCCCGCCTCGGTGCCGGCGTCCTCGTCCCCCTCAGCCTCCTTAGCCTTGCCCGCCTCCTCGCCCTCGCCCCTCTTAGCCTTGCCCGCTTTGGCACTGGCGTCCTCCTCCTCGCCATCGTCCTTCTTGGCCTTGCCCGCCTCTGCGCTGGCGTCCTCGTCGCCCCCGGCCTTCTTTCCCTTGCCCGCCTCGACGCTGGCGTCCTCGTCTCCCTCACCCTTCTTAGCCTTGCCCGCCTCGACACTGGCGTCCTCGTCGCCCTCGCCCTTCTTGGCCTTGCCAGCCTCTGCGCCGGCGTCCTCGTCGCCCTCACCCTTATTGGCCTTGCCCGTCTCGGCGCCGGCGTACTCGACGCCCTCGCCCTTCTTGGTTGCGGCCGAGTGCTTGGCTACCCTGCCGCCTGTCGCTTCGGCAATGGCGCCCTCGCACTTCTCGGCGCACTTTTCGTTGCCGAGGAACTTATCGTCTTTGAGGTTGCACCCCGAGGGAACAGGAACCTTCACCTCGACCTCCCCGCCGCAGGGCCGACAAGTACCGCTCGCAGACCACGCGATGGAGCCATCCTCGCACTTGCAGCACTTGGAGACGCCGTCCTCTCCCTCGCTCGCCTTGGGCTCGCCCGCCACGCCGCTGGCATCCTCGGCCTTGCCCGACTCGTCGCCCTCGCCCTTCTTGGCCTTGCCCGCCTCGGTGCCAGCGTCCTCGTCCCCCTCAGCCTCCTTAGCCTTGCCCGCCTCCTCGCCCTCGCCCTCCTTATCCTTGCCCGCTTTGGCACCGGCGTCCTCCTCCTCGCCCTCGCCCTTCTTGGCCTTGCCCGCCTCTGCGCCGCTGGCATCCTCGTCGTTCTCCGCCTTCTTGCCCTTGCCCGCCGCGGCACCAGCGTCCTCGTCGCCACCCTTGGCCTTGGCAAGGGCGGCCTTGCACTTCCTGACGCGCTGGTGCGTGCCCAGGAAGTCAGGTTCCCTGTGGTCGCAGCCCTTCGGCACCGGCGCCCTCATCTCGACCTTGCCGTTGCAGGGCGAACATTCGCCGCTCCTGGACCACGACGTGGAGCCCGTCTTGAACCTGCAGCATTCGGGGCCTTTGCGGGCAAGGCCTCAATCCCTATCCAGTGCGTCTCGGACTCTTGGATTCCCTCCTCTAAAAGCCCGAGACGCCGTGGACATGAACAAAAGCAAAGAATGACCCTAATCTTGGACAATACCCACTGCGTCTCGGGTTTCCGGCGTCCTTTTCTCAGCAAAATCCAAGATGCCGAGGGTATGGATATTGAGTTTCGTTCAACCCATCCCCATCCCCAGCGGCGTGGCCTTGGCCCCCCTGGCCGACTTACCCCGCTAGATTGGGATATAGGTCGTTCCCTCCGGGCTTCGAGGGGTGCACCCCCAACTGGGGTGGTAACTTGGTGGGGGTCTCGAAGGGGATGAGGATGGGGATGGGAATTGTTTGGGATGGGGATTGGTTGAACGATACCGAGGATATAACAAGAATTGCCCACGGCCTGCGCTGACCTGGAACGCGGTACGCGCACCGGCGACATCGTGCGGGGACGGCCCTTGGCCGACCCCAGCGCGTGGCCAATGCCTGGAGGGCCCCGCAAGGGAGTGGGGAGAGGCAGACCTGAGCTGGATCGAACCGCAAGGTCGGATCGCCTCGGAAACTGGTCGCATCACAAGCGACCCGCACCGGATCAGCATCTGAGGGGCAAATGTTGCACCACCGCTACCAGATGTAGGACGGGGGAGAAGGGAGGATGAGGAGTTTCTCCTCCTCCTCCTCCTCCTCCTCCTCCTCCTCCTCATCCTCCTCCTCCTCCTCCTCCTGGTCGCGCGTCCAGGGCATCAGCGACGCCCGCCTGACCAACCTCGGGCACTCTGTCGCCGCCGCGATGCCCGGCACGCACGGCTGGCGCTCCACGCACATGGTGCTCCTGGTAGACGACATCGACCCAGGAGTGCTGGCGACGGCGGGCCCCATTCTGGAGTGGGCTCGAGCATGGCAAGAGATCGACCACGACCCAAACATGGAGGAGAGGTTAACCACGCCCTGGGAAAGATGGAGTATCAAAGTGTCGCGGACCATACACCCGTGGCAAATCGTAACAGGCCCTGCTGCCGCGTTCACCGTCACGCTGCCGAGGATCGGCTGGTGCTCGCGCTCGCCATGGTCGGTTTTCACTGGACAAGCTGATCTCGACGTGAGGCAGTTTCCTTTGCGGGACCTTTTTCATCTGGTCAAGGCGGCCACCCAACGAGAGCTCCTGCAGGCCTGGCTGGCCAGGTGGGGCGAAGAGTTGGGCGCAGGACGTGGCCCGTTTCTCGCGCCAGTGCGCGCCCTCTTGCGGCGCCAGCTCACCAGGTCCTGGACCCAAGACCATCAGACTCGCGGGCGTCAGGTTTTCTGTGGGGTTTCTTGGACCCAGGACCGTCTGTTCGCCAAGGGAATCGGTGAAAACAATGTGTGTCAGGCTTGTTTCGGGGCGGTGGGCACGGAGCGTCATCGAACTTTCTCCTGCCCCAAGCGTGCCGAAATTCGGAACAGGGTCGGGGGGCGCCACATCAATCAGCGAGGTGCGAATCCCTGGCCTGGCCATGAGCATTTGTGGGGGAGAGGCATTTGCGAGGACCCCAGCTTCACCCTTCCCCACCTCCCGCCCTCCCACGAGGCCGCCGCCGAAGGCCAGTGGGACGGCTGGGTGACTGGAGAGGTTTTTGTAGACGGCTCCCTGCTCTATGGAGCCTACGAGGGCATCAAGCGAGCGGGGTGGGCATTTGCCACGCTGGACGAGGAGGGGTCTTTTTGCTACATTCGGGCCCCTTCCCCTCGAGCAGTGGCAGCAAACGATTGTCGCGGCCGAGCTCTGGGCAAAGTATCAAGTACTCGTTGTAGCTCTTGTGCCGGTCGGGATATATTCAGACTGCCAGGCAGTCGTTGAGGGCTTCGCTGGAGGCGTTGCATGGGGTCACAGGCCAGATGTAGCAATGTCTTGTCTCTGGCAGAAGTGTTGGCACCTGATCGCGGAGCTCGGGGGTTTCGGGCGTTCCACGGTCACCATGCCCAAAGTCAAGGCTCACGCGACTCGGGCACAACGCGCCGAGATGGGGGCCAGGCTCTCGGTAGGGAGCACGGCGGCAGATAAGCACGCCAAGCTAGGAGCTCAGATTTGTAGCACGCTGATTGGCAGAGGAAGGCTTTGACATTCTCGAATTCGCGGCGCGTGTCGGGGGGGACTCCCATGAAATTAAGGGCACGTCTAGAGAGAATGCCCAGACACCCCCAGAGCCCGAAGGTCCGCCTGACGAGGTCCCACCACCACCACCTCCTCCTCCTCCTCGGAGCCTTCCTCTCCTGGTCGAAGAAGTGGATGGTGACCCGCGGGACTCCCTCATAAATCAGGCAAGGAGCATGGGCCATCATATGGTGATCCGTGGGTTGGGGACGACGTCACCCGACGATCCAGCAGGCAAGGAACAAGGTTGTGGGACAGCCGTCACCCGACTACAGGCCACCCCCTCTAGTGCAGCACGCCCTATAGCTCGGACAGGCCGTGTATAGCCAGCGTGCACCATCGTCAGGGCCCCTCACACGTGAGACCCCGAGCGCAGCAGGAAATAGCCCTTGGGAATAGTCCTCCTCCTCCTTCTCCTCCTCCTCCTCCTCCTCCTCCTCCTCCTCCTCCGCCTCCGCCTCCGCCTCCTCCTCCTCCTCCTCCTCCTCCTCCTCCGCCTCCTCCTCCTCCTCCTCCTCCTCCCCCTCCTCCCTCTCCTACCTCTGGCAGTGGTGGTGGAAGATGGGCCCCTCGAAACTCGGATCGGCGCGCCCAGCCTCCAGCTGGCCCCTGCCGCTGCCAATTTGGATCGCGTCGGGTCGGATCGCATCGGAACATGGCGGGCCTGGCCCGGGGACTGAAGCGCACCGGAGTGGATCGTGGGCGGCCTTGAGCGGGTGCCCAGGGACACACAAATGAATACACACAGATCCCAGGATTCCCCATTTCTGCCCATGCTTTCCGGGTTTTGCTCGTTCCCCCCCTCCCACTTCCCAGATTTTCCTCCCACCTTTTCCTGGGAGTCCACGGTTCATTGTGTCTGCGTGTTTTCGCCTCCTGACCTGAGATAGGGTCCCTACCAAAGATTCCAGCGGGCCGCGTGCGTCCACGATCCCGCCATCGCTGCTGGAAGTCAGCACCGGACAGAACCCAGGGCTCCTGCGCGAGAGGCTCCGAGGTGGCCCCAGGAGGGATCCGAGACGCCGCAGAGAGCTCACTGCAGAGGCCCAGGCTCGGAAATGCCAGAATGAGCTCCGAAATGGCCTCGAGAGCAAAGAAAGCAGCATTCCGGGAAGGCTCCTGGCAGTTACCTCCTCTCTGACCCCCCCCGTGCTTCTCCCTCCTCCCGGCACCCTTCTCATCCTCCCAGGACTCCGTCCATCAAGAGGGTACCGCGAGAGGTCCCGGCAGCCCGATGGAGCCCCGCGACGGCCCTGCCCCAACAGAGCCAAGAACCGAAGCGATAAGTCGTATGGGCGATCGAGCAGAATCGGATCAACGGAAATCGTAAGCCGAGGCAGGAGAAGTCGACTCGACGGAAATCGATAGGTAAGTAGGCCTCCAAAAAGAAATCGGAGTCCAAATGGGAGCCCGAGGTCGAATCGAATCGGAATCGGAAGCCATCGAAACCTAATCGAATCGGATCGGAGGTGTCGAAATGAGCTCTGTCCCCAACCGAGTCCTGAGACCCTCCGCCAGTGTCGGCAGCAGAGCGAAGACTAAGAAGCCGCAGCTGGCAGTCAGGCAGGCAGGCCGGCAGGCAGAAGAAGCGCACGACAACCGCAAGCGACCATCAGCGCGAAGGGGCAGCACGCTGCATGAACCGCAGTGGCAACAACGCACTAGCCAGCACGACCACGCCGCCTCCACCTTGCGGTCGGCGTGGTGTCCACATGCGCGCTCAGGCAGGAAGGTGTGCCCACGTATACAAGCTGCGCTGCAGAGTGGGGCAAGGACATGGTGGGCCGGCGAGTCATGGCCCGAGGCATGTGCGCGGACGAGGGGTGTGGGGGGTGGGAATTGCTTCGAATAACGAGAGGGAGCCACGACTTCTGGGAGACTTCGTTGCCCCTGCCAAGGTGTCCATCGTCCATCCAACACCCCCTGGTCCTAACCCCCCTCTTGGACGTGGACGACCCACCTTCGCGCACCTCGCCCTGCGATGCGCAACGCGCGGTTATCTTCGCGCCCTCGCGCCGCTGCCCAGGAGAAGGGTGCCCCTCAAACCCAAGCCGCGATGCGCGAAGCGCGATGATCTTCGCGCCACTGGGTGAGACCTGGTGGATGACTACCTACCAAACCACCCCAACCCAACCCGAAGACCCGAATTTGACCCGAATTTCGGGTTGGGGGGGTACGAATTCCATGTGTTTTTTCGACGTTCCCCGACCCCCCCCCCACTGGAAATGGAGGGTGAATTGAGGCCTTCGGGTTGGGCTGGGGTGGTTTGGTGGGTGGTGACTGGACACCCCTGGCTGTGTCAGGCTCGCGCGTGCCCGCCTTTCGGGGAGCGTCGAGGCCCGCGCACCTCCGTCAACTCTCGACCCGCCTCCTGGGCCGGGGCCTCGACGGGTGGCTGCGACTCCCCCGCGAACCCTTCGACCGCACGCGCGGGTGGGTCCTGGAAAAAGCGGTTCGTCGGGTCAGGGCGGGGGAATCTGCAGCAAACCGCCGATCCACGACGGGATCGCCCCTCCTGCTTCCCGGGAGCAGGACTGGACAGGGCGGGGAGAGGGACGCAGGAGCCGTCCCACGCGAAGGGGGTGGGTCGCATGGAGGGGGAGGCGGCTGGGCCTCCCCTCCAGCAGAGGGGGCACCGTGAGGAAACATCGGGATTCAAATATCTGTGAGCACAGATGGCGATGCCTTGTGATGCGCGCGATGGGCACAAAAGCACACAAGCATGGCTCGAGGTCGGAATGGAGGGTGGTGCTTCGCAGGACGCCTCCC